TCTCTCTCTCTCTCTCTCTCTCTCTCTCTCTCTCTCTCTCTCTCTCTCTCTCTCTCTCTCTCTCTCTCTCTCTCTCTCTCTCTGTGCAGCCCCAGTTTTCTCCGTTGGACACAGAAATGTACTCCAGGTGAGGAAACTGTCTGCAGGAATCAATCCGCCAGGCGAATAAAAAAACGAGCAGTTGCAGAGTGTTGGGGGAAGTTTCACGTACTGTTGTAGTTGAGCAGCTTTTCAATCAGGTCCACGTGCGTCATCAGCATGCGTCTGCAACAATATCGGATTAGCCCAAGGGCATCGAGCGCATCGCTGTTCGCACAGTTGAAGTCACAAACGACAGCAAAATGTCACAAACGGTAAAAAACTATACACCACATGGGAGTTCGTACCACAGGCAAGATGATCTCTCGTTGAAGAGACGATAAATATTAAATATTAATTAATTAATCAATTCATTGAATTGAATTTACTTTAATTACAGTATATAATATATATACATATACCAATCGCTAGATCCACAGATCAATTCTTGGTACATTTCCCTTTGAATTGCCCACAAAGAGAGAGAGAGAGAGAGAGAGAGAGAGAGAGAGAGAGAGAGAGAGAGAGAGAGAGAGAGAATATTGAGTTGATCATATTGGAAGCATATTCACACCATGGACGCTAATCGGAACGCAGAAAAGAAAAGAGAAAAAGAAAGAATGTTCTTGGATTACCGCATCGGGCTAAGGTTCAGAATCTTCTAGTGTACTTAAGAGGTTAGGATTAGGGGTCATATTAAGGATTAGGTCGGGGTTAGGATTAGGGTCACACGTCAGTGGCTGCAGTTAGGGTTAGGGTTTACCCACGATGCTTCAGTCAGGATCACTCTTTGCAAACGATTATTAGGGTTTGGACCCAGGTTAGGGTTTGGACTCAGGTTAGGGTTTGGAGCCAAACCAGGTTTAGGGTTTGGAGGCAAACCAGGTTTAGGGTTTGGAGCCAGGTTAGGGTTTGGAGCCAAACCAGGTTAGGGTTTGGAGCCAAACCAGGTTAGGGTTTGGACAGAGGTTAGGGTTTGGAGATATGTTAAGAGGGTAGTTAGGGTGCGTAGGCAGGTTAGGGCTTGGCGAGCGGTTAAGTTTTGGAGTTAGGGTTCGAGGATAGGGTTTGAAGAGAGGGTTTGGAAACAGAGTAGAGTTTGGAGAAAGGTTAGGGGGTCGGCAGATAGATTAGGGTTGGGAGATAAGGTAGGGTGGGGAGAGAGGTTAGGGCGAGAAGATGGAGATAGGGTTTGAAGATAGGTTAGGGTTAGCAGATAGGGTTGGAAGGTAGGTTAGGATTTGGTGACAGGGTTTGAAGATCGATTTGATACCAAGTGTCCGTGTCCATGAAACATAACGCATATGAGAATAGATGCATCTCTAGCATCTATAGAAAACGATGCATCTATAGATAGATGAAGCTGCATCTCTAGATGCATCTAATAATGAATACATCTGCATCTATCTATCTACAGATGCATCTAAGAATAGATGGATAGATGCATCTATAGCATCGATAGATGCATCTAAGTATATATACTTCGATGCATGTAACAATACAAGGGGCGCAGCCGCGGCGGAGTTGGGAGAGCGAGGGAAAGGAGAAGTGGAAGTTGAGAACTTACAGTGAGAAAGAAAGAAGTATGCATCGTAGCAGTGAAGATGCATTTATATGCAAACAGACCGGAGACATGTAAAAAAGGCAAACAGAATTGAGCCAGTTTGAAAGTTGACAGCCGTCAGTATTTTATTCAGACAGCAGGGGAAAAAAAAAAAAAAAAAAAAAAGCGATTGAATTTCATGCCAATTCCTTGTGATCCCGAGGATACTTCCACCCCTGCGATGCTCTTCTTCCCTTTCCCTCCTTTCCCGATCCCGACTCTCTCTGAACCTTCCGTCTCCAATGGGGAGTTCATCGGACCCCTCCCCCTCTCTCTCTCTCTCTCTCTCTCTCTCTCTCTCTCTCTCTCTCTCTCTCTCTCTCTGCGAATCTCTTCCTCTCCCCTATCTTGATGTCTCCTCTCCTTTCACCCCGGTTCCCTTTTCCACCGAAGCCACCCGGATCCCGACTCCGTCAGGAAACTTGCGATGGCAACCCTTCTTCCCCGCGCAATTGAGTGTGTTTGTGCGCGTGTGGGTATGAGCGCCGCGCGCACACATACACACACACATATAAACACACACATACACACACACACACACACGGCGCACACA